TTTGTCCATTGTTCATTCGCGTATAGACAATATAGTATTTATGCTTACATTATTCCATGAAATGATACACGTGTATGAGCCTATGCAGAATGCTGATAGAATATTTGTTTTTGTTCAGACGGACACATGCTTCTTCGCATTCTGCATCTGTCATTTTATTTGTTTTTTTTTTAACTATTTGATAAAAATTTAAAAGCACAACTCTTATAATTCATTAAAATGTAGAATAAGAATACAATACAAAAGCCCTAAATAATTTCAACTTATTGATCTATTGTTTAAAAAGAATAATACATATGGTAAAATTATATATTAATTTTTTATTGAAAAATAATATTCTTATAGCCTACGACATTTATGACGTAAATATTTTAACAATATAATTAGTATGTAGTTTCTCAATTAGCACAACTTTTATAAAAATTAAATAAATACATAAAATGTTAACATCGGATCCATGTAGATATTAAATAAATTTTTTCACGCTCATAGTCTGTAATAAATAACAATATTTAAGACTTGCAGTTTGTCGTTCATGTATTATAAAAATAAATAGATTTTTATAAATTGATCAAAAAATTTAATCTATTGCACTTTAGGATAGAGACACAATTAATGGTAACACAAAGAATCAGACACAAAAATTTCTTATTTTTTATTCTCATTATGTCGATGACAATATAAACAAAATAATTAAAAAGTTTTATAGGTTTTGCCCCATTACTTAATCAAAATTTATTTTTATAATTAGAAATATAACAGAATGATTTTTTATATTTACTTTTGAATTGATAATTTATATAGTTATGCATTTGGTTATATATATATGGACTTCATAATTTGTATGTGATAATTTTATTTTTTATTTGAAAAATATGGCTATTATTAAACAATTTCTATTATAATAAAAAGTAGTTAAATCAAAACTGTATAAATAGTCAAGTAAATTTAGTACAATATAATTACATCTACTGTATATCGTTTGTTAACAAATCTACCATAACAAATAGTCAATATCTATTTCTCTTTAATATTATTATAGTACCTTTCATATATTTATCGTCAATAAATCCAATTTTTTATTAAATAATTTAATCCTAAGCAATTACGTAACATGTATTCTAAAAAGGCTCAAATAAACTTTGAAAAAATGCACCTTCTTTTATAAAAAGCTCAGGATATAATAAAATGCCGACTGTTAGATTACTTAATTTTTATAAATTAATCGTGTTCTGCCTTTCTTTATAGTAAAAGCACATATGTCTATAAAAAAATTTGGAGATATTTTGTATGAAAAAAAAACCAAGTGGATATGTATTAATATATAAGTGGAAATTCCCGAATAAATTTCTACTACTAATTAATTTCAATTATTTCTCTATATTCATATATAGATGCACACATAAATGTCGTTAATCTTGTTTTATTTGTAAATATTTTTTAATATTCACCCTACAATTTGATTCTAAAGTCGAAAAAATAATGAAAGAATAAAAAAAGATCTCGTGCGCGCAGTATTTCTCAATGTGATTTTCTTGTTTGGTATAAAAATTTAAATTTGAATCAACTTTAGCAGCGAACAAAGTAGTTTTCTACCTCTACAATATGAATTTTTTCAACTACTCAAAACCAACCATTCTCCTAAATACATATTTTCATTTCATATATATTGGATATTCACACATTATATACGTTATTGATTATTAATTCTCATAATAAGAATATATTTTATTTTGAAATAAAGTTTTTTATAGTTTTTCTTGTTGAATATAGTATTTTAATTACCATAATATGTAAAATTATAGGCGAATTGTTACCAACTTTGATTTAATTGAAAATAAACTTAAATAGTTATATAAGTAGATCAATATTAAAATTGATACTTATATTTAGAGTACAGTTGACTTTCAAACATCAAAAAATGTAGTAAATTATATAAATATTCTGCTTCTTAATTTTGGTTTATGACTTTATTAAATAAGTAGATAAGTAAAATTTACACTTCTCATATAGAATTCAATATGAACAACTTCTATGGAGTTTTAAATAAACAATCAATGCAATATAATTGATGAGAAACTTAACTGTAACTTCAATAAGATAATTATAATAAATAATTGAACTTAAAAGTTAAATTTCTAATCTGTCCATCAGTGTTAATTAAAAAAATTGGAAAATTAAAATAGCGATGTTCCCTTAGTTCTGCTAAGATTTCTACATTATGTCACTTTGATACTTTACGCACTTTGTATTTAAATTATATGGCTAGTGATTTCTGCAATCAAACTAAAAATGCGAACATGTAGCGATTTTTAAGTTATCACTGGAGAAAAAACTTCTTCCACTCGTAAGGATTACTGTACAGATCACTAATATCCTTTGTGCAAAGAAATACTCCATACTTAATACGATCTAAAGAAAAAATAAGAGGAGAATACAATTAATTAGTTTGCGATATCACCGATTTTATAGACAGTGTGCATAGTGAATATATATATATATATATATATATATATAAATATAGATGAAATTTTTAAGATTGAATTGTATTTTCTTTTGATGATTAACAAGATATATTTTATATTTTTCATGAAATATAAGAATTTTCTTAAATTTATTCTTTTTTTAGAATAATCGTATCACTAGCCAATTCATTATGCTTTACTTTAAAATATTATTACCTTTTACTCAAAAATATTTGTACGATATTTAATTGATAATATTTATTATCAATTAATATTTTATTGATATTTATTGACTATTATTATTATTAATTGATACAAATAAAAAATTTTAATTTTAAATAAAAATCTTGAAGACAACTATTTCAAAAGTTACTAGAAACACTCCTAAACTACATTATTCAAGTAGGATAAACCTATTGTATTATTAATCTGTTTCTCTCGTCTTCTCTCTTCCTCAATCTCTCTCTCTCTCTCTCTCTCTCTCTCTCTCTCTCTTTCTATTCGATATATTTACCTATCTCACCTGGTCCATAAAATCTACTTATATGCGGCAATAAAGGATAAAAAGGAAAAAACAAATGCAAGTATACAATTCTACCTTTTTATTGTCGATGCATGAACATACTGAGAAAAAGATGCCGAGGAATGTATAATATAAAAATTAACGTTGTGGATGTTGGAAAAGAATCACAGGAGCCTATGTAAACAGTTAAGGAGAAAAATATTTGCAGAGGACAACGCGCCCTCTCATTATCGCGGTAACTCTCTTGTGTTGGTACCAGCGCAGGGCAAGCAAGCGGATGGGTTGTGTCCAGGTGCAGGTAAGCCGAAGAAGACAGCAAAAGAGAGAGAGACAACGATAAAGATTGATTCGACATGCATAAATTAGAGAGGATAAAGATTTACTCTGCCTTGTGCTCGCTATGTATGCATACATGCGTTCTGCAAGTATCTGGATTGGCATTGATATTGGGATTGAAATCAGGATATGTCAAGGGAAAAAGGGAAAGGAACTGAGCATCGGAGTAGAAATTGATGACTGTAGGCAAAAACCAAGGGGTCTATAATAATTAATCATAGAGGTCACATTGATATCTGCACAAACTTATGCATAAGTGGATGTGTTCAAATTGATGATATCATCCGTTGTATTTCTGGCTCGTCTTCATTTCTTTATTTTTCATTTCATGATCTTTTTTCCTTAACTTTCATAGTTCTTCAAAAGATATATATATATATGTATATATATATATAATAACGCGTGATTTTAGGGTTTCATATAATATTTAAAAAAAAGGAATTTAAATTAATTTGATATATATATATATATATATATATATATATATATATATATATATATTTAAAATTTTTCCTTTATTTATTTAAGAATATCGATTAATTTAAAAAATAAAAAATCAAATAAATTTATACTTTGCATTAAAAATGAATAAAGTGATAAATCACAGTGCTATAATCATAAAATAAAATAAAATGTATATAGTTTCCATATTAAAACTTAATTAAAAAATCCTTCATAAAAAAATGATTTGTTAACCCGAATTTTAAACTGATCTTACATTACTAACTTCATTAATTTAAGCTTTAAAAATTCATTCTTGATAGACGATAAAGCTTTCATACTAAATATTTGACTAATATTTTTGTTTTGGATTACAAATAGCATAAGCATTTGTTTGGACCGTCCACAATCGATAATATTCATTAAAATGATTATTAATTTCATTTAATTCGTCAGTACTAAGCGTATTTCAATGGGTTAATAGATACATACCAAGCTTTCGAATAAAATAATGCACTTAAAACCGTAATGGAAAGCTGCCCACTGATTACAAGCGAATTAAAAGACTCGATATTTTTACAAATACTTTATGTATAACGTACTGGTTCCATTAATAATTAATCTTACCTTACATTTCTAAAGTTATTTAAAGCAATACTGAATAATAATTCCATGAGTTTAAATTGACAGTAGATATACGTTCTTCTTTATTTTTTTTTCTTTCTTTTTTTTTAATTCTATATGAATAACGATAGTTATTTCAATTTGTGCTTAAGTAAAGGTATTTGAATCTGATATTATAATTGTATAATATTCATTGACAGTTTTAATTCATTCCATTTAGATTATTTATCAACATTATCAAATGATCAAAATTTTTCATTTAAAATTAAATATTATCTTAGCTATGTTAACGATCGCGATAACCATCAGAGCAACAATATATTAATAATAAAAATTATTTTACAATAGGAGGGGGTTTATTTCTTACGTTGCTCGCCCATATAAGTAACTTAATTATTCAATTTATCAACATACATAATATTCTAAAGTACTAATGAAAATTGTTGAGATTAAGAATGTAGATGATTATTTAAAAATCCTGCTATATTATTATGATTTTTTTTTTACATATTTAGTTTCCATGTCATTTACCATTTATCGAAGAACGGATTATCCGAGCTTTGTAAAATATTCGATGCGTGTAATCATTTTCAACAATTATTATTTTTCAGAAGACGAAGTCGTAACGAGGAAGATCCTGGAGCTGTGCAACAAGTTAGCGAAGACGGCCAGCAGGTGTCAACTTCCGGGCAAAACACCACGAGCTACGGTCGCGAACCTGACGACAACGACGAAGAGCAGCAGCAGCAATTGTCTACCGCAACTAGCGGCACCTCGGATCAGGACCAAGCGGGAGGGAACGCCAACGATCAGCAGCAGCAGCAGCAGCAGCAGCAACAGCAACAGCAACAGCAACAGCAGCAGCAACAGCAACAGCAACAGCAGCAGCAGCAACAACAACAACAACAGCAGCAGCACAGCGACGATTCGGAAGTACAGAAAAGGGTCGCCGCGGTGCAAGTGCAGGTGCAGGGCATGGAGGGCGACTGGCGGGCTTACTGTGAGCACCCGCTGTCGGTCGCCACAGCAGCTATGCTCAATCTACAACAGCAGCACCAGGTTACAGCGGTAGCCGGACATCCGGCTGATGATCCTGCGGCCAGCTATGTCTATGAGTACTATACAAAACTACCAGACAAGGCTGCCGATGTCAAGCTCCCACCTACGCACGAACTGTGGTCCACGTGAGTACTCATCTTTCTCTTTGCTTTATAATTTTATTCGCTCGGTATCATAGCAGATACCGTAGATTCTCGTATCATTAATTCGTATTCGGAGAAATTCAAAACTACACCACGGCATAGAATATGAAAACCATTAGTATCGCGTTACTAGTCTTTTGCAATAAATATTATATTATTATTCTTGAATGAAATAAAGCCAAGAATTCTTATTAAATTTTTCAGATCTTAATTTAATATTTTTTATTTTTCAACATATTATTGACATATTATACTTAATTTTCCTAATGAGTTTTTTATAATAGAAAATTTAGTTAAACAAAAGACTAATAATTTTCAGATATTTAAAACAAAATATGTAAAATACAAGTATGAGAATACATTTTGGAATCGATAGTCCACAAACGTATTAAAAAATTGTAAATCATAACTAATTAAAATTAAAAAAAAAAAAAAAAAAAGGATAATAATTTGTGTTATATTACGAGATAGTTTTTAGTCTTTCAATAACAATATTTATGATAAATCAAAATTTATACGTTTATATGGACCGGAACTTCTTGCCTACAGAATAATTAAATTATTTTTATTTAAAATGAAAAATGAAAAATGAAAATAAAAATGAAAACATTTGAAATTATTTTAGAAAATTTCTATTAATTTTTCAATGCCTTAAACATATAATAAAAATGATATACCATAAGATTATGTTTTTATTACATTTTCATAAATGATTATTGTAAAAGAAAATTCATTAGTATGTATATTCTTTAGTGCTTTCTAATATTTTTTATATATTAAAGAAGAAATACAAATTATATAAGTTTTGAATATTGATAAAATTTCTAAATAATATTAATTTAGTAAACATATTATTTCTCCTTAGAGACATTAATGTAACTTGTAATACTGATAATACCAAATTAATCTATTGTCTCTTAAAACATATGTCTTGCTTTTATGATTATTAAGAAGCTATAAATGTTTATTTACATTAATTTCTAAGTTTTATAATCTAAGTTAGATTAATTCTAAGTTAGATGACATATGTGAAATGTATGTAAATATCAAATATTTTTGAAACTGTAGTTATAAAAATTAAATATAATTAGCAATCTGAGGTAACGATTAGTTTTATATGAACCTATATTTGTTCCATGTATATCACTAATATATATATATATATATATATATATATATATTTTTTTTTTTTTTCATTTAAAGCGTTAATTTTTTATCTGTCTGAATTGAAAAATGCAAATTTTAGTGAAAAATTCAAAATTAAAAAGTATATGTTACATTTTATAATAAATGTAATTAGCCGGAGTTCTGAAACTTAAATAAAATTTCTGAAAGACCGTCAAGATTTTAATCTGTTTCCAGATCATTTTAATTACAGCACTATACATGGTAAAAGACTTATTAATACGGATTGCAATTTCCCATGGAAATTTTCTTTCAAAGATATTTTCAATGCATAACTAGTCGTTTATTTTGCATCGAATCCATCAGTATTCATTCCGTCGCACTTCTCCCTCCCCTCAGCGCTCACAGTAGCTCGCTCAGTCACTCAGTGGTGCTCCATCTTCCTCTTAATTTACCTCTATCTTTCTCTCACAACTTAGTTTCTCAATTTCGCGCTTTTTTCGACTTTATAGCATAACTCATCTTCTTTATCCTATTAAGGAATCATAAAAAACGAAAAAAGGGAGTAAGAGAGATCGAAGTAACGCCAGCTGAACTGACGGAAAGAAATAAATGTATCTAAGTATTTTTTCGGTACCTAAACCGAAATTCTAAGGGATAGGGCTTCAAGCTACTGTTTATCGCCACGTAATTGATACACTCAGTGAGAGCCCATTTAACCCTTACACATCCGTCACCAGACATACATTAGGTTTTCGCTTCAGGCAGGTGACAATGGAAATTAGATTAAAATCCGTCGACGCCTCGATGCGTAGTGATGTGCCGAAAGCTCAAAAACTTGTAAGACTCGAGGATAGCAAGAATCGCGGTATTCGCGGGTATCGTCGAACCTCGCTAAGAGATACGATCATCGTATACTTCCCCGGATAAACTTTCCGGGCGAGATTAAAGCGCGGAGGAGATCGGAGGGACGATAATACCTTATGGTATCCCTGCATGAACGCGTGTATATATACAAACTCACCGAGCCTCCAGCAATTCTTATTTCTCTCTCCTTTTTTGTTTCGTGCTCCTGTGCTGATAATGCTTCTGCCGCATTCGCTTTCAAATTCGTACGTTGAGGACGTTCTCAAACAGTAAATTACAAAATATGCTAAGCGGCTGATATAAATCAAAAGTGGGACCAGACTGCGCCAAGGCGAGAGAAACGTTTTGTCTCTACCTTCCTCTCTCTCTCTCTCTCTCTCTCTCTCTCTCTCTTTCTCTCTCCGTCGCTCTTTATTGCTTAGTTTAACTCAGTATGCATAGTTATAAGAAAAACTTCAAGGGATATAAGGGTAGAAAATAATAAAAGAGAGAGAGAGGAGAGAAAGAGAGAGAGAGAAAAAGAGCAAAATCCCCAGGGCCATCGAGAATTTGGGGTGAGAAAGGATGCACGAAAAAAGTTTTATGTAGGAAGATGAGATCGACGGTAGTTTGCAAACGAAGCAAATGGACCGGAAGACGTGGCCCTCTACAATATACTGAACGTATAATCCAGCGCTTCTTTGAGTCCTATATGAACTTCTTCAATCATTCTTTATAAAATTATTATTTTTAAATCATTTACAATAAATATATATCTTTTATTCAAACGAAGAATTTTATTTATATATTAATTACGATATAAATTATAATTTATTATTATAAATATTTGCCTATTGAATTATAAATACTTACTCTTTTCAATAATTAATTACTTGTCTCGTATAAGTAAGTGCTTCGATCGCATTCTATCGTGCAATCGGGTTAAAATGTTCTGATAAATGTTAAATTATGAACATTATTCTTCTATCAAAAGTTTACGTTAATGCCCAAAAAAAGGCTACTTAAGCTCGTGATAAATGAATATAGTATTGATAATGCAATTCTGTTTATACTCATAATAGCGATAGGCTCCATCTCCCTATAGTCGGAATGAAATGAAAAAAATTAAATTCCACTACCCAGACGCTATAGTTCGGTCAAAATTATTTTTACAAGCGTTTATTTCTAATTGAAGTTGGATTTCCCTTAATCTAAAGTTTCGTTAACGTCCTCCAGCCATTCTCAATTCAGTCATCTAGTCATTGTAGCATTTGCAATACATTCATTTCATTCAATGGCCATTTAGCGCTTTTACACGCACGAACTTTCCAAAGTGAATAACCATAGTTTAATTATGTCGTACGAATTATATTGTTGATTGTCTAATAAATTTTATAAAAGAAAGTTATTTTCGCCTTCGTGTCTTATATACATATACGTATGTTTAACTTTATAAGAACAGCATATACGAATTATAATACATGGCCCCGCATTGCCGGAAATTTCTTCATTTTTTTTTTGAGAAGTCCATAGATTATTCTACTCATATTTCCCGCTGCTAACACTTGTAATACTTGCAAGCATTACACTACAATTATATATGCATGCCATTACCCATAAGCACGACTTTCCATCGAAATAGTTGACTCCACTATAAGGAGACGTGAAAACAACTTTGTTAATTGCTGCTTGTCTTGCTTTTAAAAAATCACTCTACGAATAAAAATAATTTCGCTACTAAACTTTTTGTGAAATTAAATAATCTCTTTACAAGTATTACTATTCTATATTTCTTGATATTTTTATTGATAGACTATTCTAACATTGTATTTCATTAGTCTTTTCTTCTTCTTTTTTTCTTCTTTTTTCTTCAAAATTTGATATATATAAATTTTCGTAGTATTCTACGTTCCATTATGTTTGTGAGGAATCATTGTGTAAATAATACAATATAAACCGAAGAGACGCACTACCAAAATGGACAAGTCATTTGTATTATTTTATTCCAAAAATGTTATCGCTGAAAACACTGTGAACCTTAATTATCTTTACAACTGTAATTAGAAATGTATTTTCATCTAAAAAATTTTAATTATAATAATAAAACCGTAAAAGGAATATTATAAAAAATAAAGCTTTATTTTACATGATAAATGTTGCTTAAGCTGTGTATGTATATTCATATTATATATTAGGATTTCAATTACCTTTTTCAAGTCCAGCTTATTTACCGTAATCAACCGAGGAGTAAACCAGTTCCTCAAATTTAAGCAGCTTTAATTCTTGATGCCTCTGAATAAAATTAAAATTCCGTAAGAACGTTAGAGTCTAACGGCACGTAATAATAGACAGTGCGCGGCGATACGACACTTTTCATGTTAGCGCTGCTCGCGTATTTACCCCCAAGAACAGCCTCATTATTCCGGTAGCGGTCAAAA